TTTCATTCGGCTGCTCTTCCTCATTTTCATCTTTCTCAGCACCTCCCCTCCAAAACCCTGCAGTCTCCTTGTCCCAGAAATGAGATCTTTTCTTTTATTTCAGCTACAAGACTCCAGCAAAACCTGATGGTGTTAACTATATCCGGACAGATGATGAGGTAACAAATGATTTGCATTTAACATCTCTCTGTTTAGGAGAGGAAGAGGGTGGGCAGAGGACTTCTAGCTTTTTTAGGGCCTACAGACTTTCTTAGAGTGGGCACCACTCAGAAGGAAGGATGTAGAACAGAGAGAAAACAGAAGGGTGAAGAAGGCTGAGTCATTTCCTTAGAAATGATGAACAGTTTAAGTTGCCTTAAGTGGCTGATGCCAAGCGCTATCAAATGCAGCTCTGCTCTGTCATCTTATGGCTTGACCCCCTTAGGATGAGTTTCATTGGATTAAGTGGGCAGGCCATGATGCTTTTACAAGAGAATTTGCATTTTGGGATTTGAATAGATCACTAAAGCTTAAGATCAGAAAAAGCCTCTCCCTGTTAGCAGAGATACTGAAGAGGGAATGAGGAAGTCCCCTGCCATGCCTTGGTATGCCAGGAGGACAGCAGGAGAAGGAGCACCTGGCCAGTATGACGGGTCTCCCCATCTCCTTACCAGCTGGAAGGGGGTACTGCCTAGCCCGAGAGCTAGAAGTTATACAGATCAGATCTACGGGCACACTGCAGTTGAGGGCAGCGGGAACAAAGAGTTGCCAGGAAAGCCGCTAGATCCTTTATACATCCCAAACTGCTTTGTTGCAGGGTGACTTCAGACACAAGTCTTCATTTGTCATCTAAGACGCCAAAAGAATATTGCAAACCAGCAAAAGCAAGTGTGAAAATACCTCCTCCAGGAACTCAAAGCAAGAGCAAAAGCTGAATTAAGTGCGCTTGGAAGAGTTTGGAACACACAAGAACTTGATAGCTAGCTATCTGTATATCTTTTTTTTCTTTGCCAAAGTTTAAAGTAATTCCTCACTGCCCAACTTGCATCTCCCCTGCCTCCGGAGATACCAACAGGATCACGTAAACCTGTCCTTGGACTAAGGAAGCGTTTTAATACTTCCCAAGAGACTGGGCTGTGGAAGTTTGTGGAATTGCCTTCTATTTGTGCTGCAGGGACACAGCCACAATGTGCAAACCAACCAGGGGAACAGCGTTAGGTAAACGTGTAGTAGATATTACTAGTACAAATTACTAGTAGACAAAAAAAGGTGCTGATAATGGCAAGAGACGGACTTTAAAGAATAAGAACTCTGTGCAAGGGGGAGTTTTCCTCTCAGCGGCTTGTTGCCTAGGCCTGGCTGGTGACTTTTACACGTTTGTGATTGTCTTGTGCTTTTGACTCTGACCGCTCAGGTGCAGAACGGGGTATCTGAACATCCTACAGTGACAGATACCGATACAGTAAATGCAACTAATGTTCTCAGCCCTTTTGTAAACTTACTGAATTCTCGTTACTCCATTTAACACAAAATGCGGGCAGAAGGATTGCTTCTGTTCACTGCTTTATAGAAAACTCATTGCACGCAGGTAACCCCTCATTCTAATCTGCACAAAGCAGGCTTGCCTCTTGCGTCTTTTGGTGTTTTAAAGAGGCTTATAGTGGAGGCAGAGAACCTAGTGCTAAGACATCCCTTTCAGGAAAATTAAAGCCAAATACTTTCGTGGGCTAAGATTGCCATAAAAGGTACTGAGATATCTTCCAGCTTTTTTACCTTCTGCATTTATTTTATAAAATCCCACATTCTAAATTTTTTGCAAAGATATATTTTGATTACTTCAGAAAAGGTAACATTTCTATTTAAAGTGTAAATACATGATGCCAGCAGGGTTTAAGTAATGTAGCTATTTTTTTTACTTTTTAAGCTACAGAGAGGAGCTCAAATGTTGCTATAGTATGGCGCACTCGGAGCATATCAGTATTATTGCAAAGCGTAATAAAAAACTGCAGGTGGAACAGCATCTCTTTCCTCTTAAGCTAGCTTCAGCAATTTCCTTGTCACAGGAGGTCTTACCAGAGACAGAACAGAGTCACTCAGGGATAGTTTTTGTAAATTTACGGCAGGAGCTATCAACTTTTTTATATATAAAACTTACTGTTCTTGCCAGTGACCAACACTTTGTTTTTGTTGTTGCAAGAAATATCCAGGGATGGCTTTTTGGATTCAGTTCCAACAAGGTGACAGAGTGACTTCAATGTTTGCTACCCCTCTGCAAGTTCCCTGAAGCACTAACACAGTGTGACAGCTATGGCAACTGTACAGGTTTAAACTGCATAGCCAAGGCAACTGTTTCTGGAGTTGGGAAAACAAAAGCTCAATAACTAAAGCACTTTTGTAGTGTCAGTTGCAACTTTTCTCTAGATGGTAAAAGAAAAAAGGAAAGAAAAAAAAAAAAAGAAAACAAATCTAGTTCTCTTGGCTTTAGAGAGAATAATTGGAAACACGTGGTTCCCAGAAACGTAGATGTTGATGGTGTTGAACAGCATTGGGTAATATAAGACTGCAAGATGTGGATGCAACACTAGAACTGTGCTGTGGTTTAAGAATTTTTTTTAATGTAGCAGAATTTAGTGTTTCTTGTATTTCCAATATGAATTGAGTTGTCTTAACTTTTCCTGTATATAGTATTTTGGATACTTGACGATTTGGACCGTCAGTGTTATTTTTTAGTGTTCTGCATTAATCTGCTTTGTTTCCTAGGGGCCTCGCTGGACATGCCATTGCTGCATTTGTTTTTGCCTAAACAAAGTGTTACCACTTCTCCTTTTGCTAATGAAAGTAAAAAATAAGGATGGGGCAGCAGTAACCATACGTTCTCCGTATAACTCGGACATTACTAGTGCTATTTTGCAACTACATGATGGTTACCTTCTTAAGACACGCTCTTCAACCAAGCCACACAGTATTGTTCACTGGCTGCACGCTGCCTCTAATCATTATGACAGTAGTAAGCGTAACATTCCTTTGCACCTTCTGTATATCCACTACTCCTTTTCTATGCTGCTTTTAGGATACCTATAATAAGGGAGAGAAAGAAAAGGTTTGAATCAGGGTGGCTCTGGGCACTATGGGAGCACAATCTACAGTCTCGCCATGAGCCAAAGGCAGCCTTCACGTGAAAAGCCAGCAAGCTAAGAATCAAGACTTATTTTTCAGTTCTAAAATGTGACAGTGGCATCTCTAACGAGAGAAGGGGAGATGATCCTCCTGATACAGCTCATGAGATCTGATTGATGGAATTCATTGTATCATTGTGAATAATATTCAGGTTTGTACTAATGTATTATGTTTAACTTTGCCAAGAATGTTTTACATAAATACGAAGCTATAAAGCATTCTTGTAGGTTTTTTATGTTTGGTTTTGGTTTTTAAACAGCCATATTATTGGAGGCTTCTGTTCCCAATTAAGTGAAATAAGGGAAAGTCTCTTCTGTCAGAGCACTCATTTACTTTGTATCGAGCTGAAGGTTACAGAAAGTCCAAGGTATGTTACTGTTTATCTGTTTATTGGACATTTGTCTATCCCTGGTTCTTCTCTCAAGAAGACAGATTAATGCTTACAGGGCTCATCTCAATACTGCTCAAGGACAGAACAAAAACCAGGAAAAGCACAAATTAGGAAATAAACTATTCCAATTTACCATTCAAAGTGGTTAAATGGTATTTTAAGGCAGGAGAGAAAGTACAAAATAAATGGATGTGGCCATAATTGACCATCGCTTAAGCCACATGTCGCCTGTTCCCAGATTTTGACTTTGGGAATAAAGTTTAACCACACTTGAAGGCTTCTCTGATCTTCAAAACAGAATAGGGAAAGTGAGGGCAAATTATGGGATTCCAGTGCACGAGGTAAGTGCCTCTGGAAGGGCTGTGGCAAAAGCACACTCAGCCTGTTTGTTTCCACTTCTGCAGAAAAGCCCACTCCATTTCTGTTGTGCATGCCTGAATGACAAACCAGCATGAATAAAACAGATTCCCTTTTCAAGTTTCAATGCAATCTAGGGCAAGAGCTCTGTAATAGAAGTTAACACCAGAAAACCTTCAGTTAGGTTAACGTGGCATCAGAGAGACTCAGGAGTGGTCAGATTCCAGCATTTACAATAAACAAGTTATCTGTGCAGAGCACAAAGCTATGCATATGACTTACCAACCTTGATTTTAGTGCGTTACTCATATCCTGCTTGCAGTCAAATTAGAGTCTATATTTAAAAGCTGCTGGATCCAACATTAATTGAACTGAGTGCCTAAGATACTGGCGACGTAGTAGAAGAGACTTTTGAGACTGTAGAAATCTATAGAAAAAAATAATTTCTCTGTCAGATCAAGAAGAAGAGAGAAGCTGTGGGTGGAATTAATTCTGTAACCATTTATTTTCATAAAAATTTTAATAGTTGGAAATAACACAGTTCAAGAATGGAAATATTCCATATAAAAGAACATGAAGGCTGTTCATACACACAGGAGTTTGCACAACAAATAAGAGGTGATGTAGCGTGCAATTACCAGATTTAGGGGTGTGGCAATGACAAGCTGTTTTACCTTTGTTCAAATTAAAGCAACTCTAATATATAACCAGGAGGGACAATGAGGGATCGAGTGAATAAGCTGAGCCACTCACTTCCCTGCAAGCTGCGATAAATGCATTTATCGCTGAGCTCGTGGCAACATTATGCTCTTACTTTCCCAAATGGACAAATTATACATCCTGTGAGTGAAGAGCAAGCCTCCCTTTATACTGCAGCTTTCGAGCACTCCAGTGAGCTTTGTCAACAAGCAGCAGCTTATAACACATACATGTGTTAATGCAGGCTTTGTATGCCCATCTTCTAGACAATTTCACGTAAAAACCAAAGAAGAATAGATAAGGAAGGAAGGAAGGACGCGTGCCCACAGTGATTTAAAGAGGAAAAGGACAGATATCAGGCAACATGATGATTCTGTACAAAAGTTCAATGAAAGGATCAGTTGTCTGGTTTCAGTGGAGTTCTCCGCTGGGACCGTCTCAGAGGGACACGTTGGCTGGTTTTTTTCTGTGCGGGGGATTCTACTTTCCACTCCCGTGGCAGGGATGGGCTGGAAGGAAGAAGGAGAATGACCATTTATCTTAAAGCACTTTATCAGTCTTTCTCACTGTGATTGCTGTTTCAGATCTGCGTTGAACTTACGGTTTCTCTGGTGATGTCAAACAGATAATATCTCTTCGCTCGTCCTCAGCCTCTTTCTTCTCTGCAAATAATATTTCCATATTTTAAAAAAATGCCACAGATTTGATCATTTGGGGTTGTTTCCCCCCTCAAGTTAAGAATCATAAAGATAACTTGCCTGGAGCTGAACCAGGCGTGTGCGTCAAGCTGATGTAACTGACCCCAGCACCAAAAGTCAAGTCATTAATGGTCTCTGAAAGAAAAAACCCACATATTAGCAGTCAGCTTGTGACATAGCTGGAGGGCAAGGCATGCTCTAGTAGAACACTTAAGTGTCACAGAGTAAGTACATCCAGTTAATTGCAAGCACACATAGATTTCTTTTCCAGCCCAGCAGATCTTAGTGTCTCCCATCCAGCCTCAAAACTATATGGTGAATCTGACGGGCCATCTGTGCGCATCAGCTTCATACTCCAGACTTACAGCCTGCCTTCTATGTGGAGGAAATTCATTTAAATACAGGATCTCAGTCATGCTCCTCCTTGTCCTACCTAGGTGGGAGAGCCACAGCTTCCTTCGAAGCTTTGCCATCTTTCATAACAAGATTCAGACTGGTTGCTTTGCCTAGTGAAGGCAGAATACAGGGCCTCTGAAGACCGACAAAGGACCCGAAGAGCCCTTTCTGCGAGGAACTGCCTGCAGCCAGACAAGAGGAATCACTTGACAAGGAAGCTAGGTAGAATTTAGCTTGCCTGAATAGGCTGTAGTTGTCAGCTGTCTCTTCCCTGTCATTTATCTCCGGAGAGATGTCACAATATTCAGATTTTACTTTACTCAACACTCTGTTTTATGCTCATGTTCCCCAGAATCCTTCACAAGGAATTAAGGTAGAAAGTGCTTTATAGGGCAGGAGTTGGAAACTCTGTCTGAAGGACTTCTCTCTACAGACTGAGTTTGCTCTTTAACTACTCTTCTGTCCTGGAAGGGAAACACTGAAGCTTGTAGTGGAAATCCAACTTGATCTCTCTGCCTTAGCTGGCCTCTGCATCTCTCAAGACTGACCTGGAAGTGTCCTGACTTTGCACAGTGTGTGCCTTAACAAGTTACCTTGGTTAATAAGAAGTTTACATGAAAGGAAGGAAGGAAGGAAGGAAATGGCAGAGAACTTTTATCAAGTAGGGCTTCCCATGCAACCAAAGGTGGAATCTTTACAACGTGTTTATGAACCACAGTGAAGCAATCTACACTTGGTCAGAACCCACTTAGCCATTCTCAAAGTAACGAGCAGGAGATGAGCAGGAGACCCAAACACAGCAGGGGAGAGAGTGACAGCCAGAACAGTCGAATGAGGTAAAGAGAAGAGATAGCTGTTCTTAACTTCTCAAGGACAAAATGTTTTACAAAGAACTGCATTTCCAATAGTTTTAGAATGATATACCAGAGAAATAAACATGTTTTATTTTGATTGTCTATCAGCCTGCAAGACCCAGCGCCACCACGCAGATGGCTCAACACACGCTAACCGAAGTGATGATACTGCTCCGTACAGTTTGTCTCCCCACTGAAGGACACGTGCTGCCTCAAAGCAAAGTAGGAATTCAGCCCTAGTACAACTGCAGATTAACGTTCTTCCTCCTTTTTCACCATATGGTGCTTAAGAGAAACAGCCATGCAAGCTTCCAGACAGAGATATGGCGCTTAAAGATTTCTGCTCTCTAAAAACATGCCCCCAATTTTTTTGCACCAAGATTGTTGCTTGTTGCTCAGGCAGCAAAGAGAAACATCGAGGCAGACAAATCTAGCCAAACAGTGGAGCATACAGGGAAGAGAAGGGTCAGATTTTCCAGTGGATGCACATCACTGCCGCTGCTTTGCTCCTGCCTGCTCTTGGATGTCAGGTATTTGCAGACTGCCGCACAGCTGACTGCCTTACTGGCTACATGTCGTTTGCTCTCCTGTGTGCGTGCAGGTCAGGTGTTTGCATAGATACAGGCAGAGTGCAGCCGGATAGCTATGCTTCTGGAACATCGACCCCTCCCCGCAACGATTCACAACTGCCTGATGAGAGATGACCTGTCAGGCACTCACCTATACTCCCAACTTAACTCCAGAGCTCCAGAGTAAGGGTGTACATCACACTCACAATTTGCACTACAACGGAGATGCCCTAAAGGAGTTCAGCAGTGAATTGACATAAAGGAAGGGAATCTACTGCTGGAACTCAGCTCCATTTGTGTTTTACTATAACTGCCTCTTGCGCTTGCAGAAAACGACACTGCAGAATGCTGCAGGGCTGTCAGAGAGCATTCCAACAATTCCTAACTTTTGAAGGTCAGGTTTTGTGAGATTGCAATTCAGCTGCAATGGACGTATGCACAGCAGACTCTCGCAATTTGTGTATTAAAGATTCCTCTCTGTGTATTTTTACTTTAATTTCCACAGCAGAGTGAAGGAAACAAATGATTCCTTCTCCAATGTTCAGTTCTTTCTTAGGGTAGAAGGCACACACACTCAGAAATGACTATGCAGGTTATTAACCCCACTTGAGCAGATCTCTCTGTTCTCTTGCAATTGTCACAGCTCACTGCCTGCTCTAGAAGCAGGTCATAGCTCAGCTGAGATCTTTTGTTTGGACAACAGGAACCCACCATCTTAGAGCTGAAAAGGACCAGACCCTCAGTATTTCCCTCCACAGCAGGGTTCTGTAATTCAGTCTCCAAATGCTAAGCTACGCTTCCAGAGTTAAGGAGAGCAAGTGTCTCAATGCAACAGAATCTTGCACACTTCGGGCAATGCCCAAAATAAATGCTCTCCTGCACTGACTCCATATTATAATACCCTGTGACATGTAAATTGAGACTGTAGTGGACGGTCTCTTCCTACATACGTCATTCATCTGAGACCTTCAATTTCAGAACAGTTCTTATTTACTACAGTCATTTAGATAAATACATAATCTATAGCTATCAATGACTAATTTTCTCTGCTCATTAGGGGAGCCATGTATTGCTACCTCCCTCAGAGAACGAGTGTCCAATTTGGAAAGGGTTCCTTTGAGTTATACTTACGATCTGGTGTGCTGATTGCACGGCCCACCACAGAAACAGTTTCTCCAGTAGAGTGTTGATTCAGGCTTTGAATTGATACTAGAAATAACAAGGAAATAATTAAGAATAGAAATATATTCACTCAGAGACCTCAAGGCTCTAACAATCAGGCTGTGTCAACTAGATCTAGTCCAATGGAGATCAGTTTGCAGCAAGATTCCTACCTCGCTTGCTGCCAGCTGCACTTGATGGAAGTGATAAAGCCGATAAACTTCCTCCAACACTCTTGCTGCGTTGCTTGCTTCTGGCTTCCATCGCTTTCTTGGCAGAGTTCAGGATGGCAAGCGTGCTCAAAGATCCTGGCCTACAGGGCAAAAAACATGACAGAAACCGAGGGATTTCCCTCTGCAAGCCCAGGTAAGATACATGTAATGAGGAGAGAGATCTGTCCCCTCCCAATCCCTTATGATCTTAAGCATCAACTGTAATGGAGAAGATTGTGCTGCAACATTGGTGATGTTCACACCACTAAGCAAGCAGTGGAAAAGCAAAGCAATCGCCCTGCGGAATATCGTAACTGGTAATACAAACAGAAACCCATACCTGTGACTGCGTAACGGCTGCTTCGGAACATCAGCACTAGGTGTAGTAAATTCGGAAGGCACAGAGGAAGGACTTGACCTAGATGGCAAGGACTGTCTCCCACTTACAGGAGACTGAGCATTATTATTCCAGCCACCAGAAGGTACAGCTGTCTCCAAAGATGGAGTTTGCTAGAAGAAAATAGGAGAAAAGATCATGTCTAACGATGGATACAAGTGCAGAAAACCTTCGATATAAGATGCTCAGAACTACACGCCGTGTGATTAAGAACTGCCCTGTGTGCAATGGACGTAAAGGGGTGCTAGGAAGAAAGAATTTATTGGCCAAAATTTTAACAAGAAGTGAACAGGAAGTTTTGATGGGATACATATGTCCTAGTTGAGAGGTCTAGATATAGGTGCTCTTTAAAGCCAGCAGAGAGAGGAAGGTACTTCCAGAGTAGAAGGCATCTCATCTTAACGTAGGTATCTAAAATAGTTCAGGACAGTTGACCCAAGCACATACTTATTTCTTTATACTGACATTAAAAGAGGATCTGCATGACTAGGATAGATTTAAGTTTCCACTCTGTATGCACCTAAAGTCAGACAAAAGGAATCCTTTTCTTTTTGACCCATTTATCATCTTTAGCACTCTGGGAACAGAGCGCAATACATGTAAGCACAGCCAGTGGCAAACTAGACTTGGTTTTCCCTTTAAATAGAATTATTTTTACATTAATTGTTTGCTGCTCCTCTTTGGCTAACGTGTGTTGTTTGTTGTCATCCTAAGCGTATTAAATGAGTCTGAAACCAAAGCTTCTGTCAGCAAATGCAAAGAGGTAGGAGAGCATTACATAACCATTCTGTTAAGAGTGCTGTAACAAGGTCCACAGACATACAGATTCTGGGTGTTACGTGTACGCAAACTT